CACCACCACCACCACCATCTCATTTTGCACCATTCTTTCAACATTACGGGTTTCATCCCGCTACAGAATTTTTCTTTCCTTCTGCTCCTTTTCCTCGTGATTTTTTAATGCATCAAGCGGCAGCTGCTGCCGCTGCTGCGGCGCAATTTTCTCCCTACCTACTTCGACCATCTCTAACCGCTCCACCACCACCACTTCCTACTACACCTCAGACAATTAATCCATCAACAGTTGTTACTCCTGCTTCCGTTACTGTATCGCAATCGCTACCACCGATGATTGCAACTACCGTTATTCCGTCAAGCACTAATGGTATACCATCATGTCCAGTTTCTACAACGAGAAAATCGGTAGTAGCTCCTAAAAAAGGAGGATTCGATGTATCTGATCTCCTTGCTTAATCGTGATATTTCTAAGTAATTTTCTTGTTCATCAAATGAATGCTTATTTATTATCATAATTTTTCGACAAAAAAATGATGCAAATAAGGTTAATACATAAAAAAAAAAAAAAAAAGAAAGAAAAACAAGAATGTTTGAAATTTGAAATTATTTTTTGTAAGTTAAAAAATGAAAAGAAAAGGAAGAAAGCTGTAAAAATTATTTAGAAAATTAACTGACATATTAATTATTTTCATTTATGATAGCAATTTGAATAGAAAATAGCAAAACATTTGTTGAAATGATAAATTAGGACTATCATTTTCTAATACTTTTACAATTATGGTAACATAATAAAATGAAAAATGTACAAATATTAATTGTAACTAAAGAGTAATTTTTTTTTTGAGCATTTCAAAATTTCAGATTATCGATTTGTTCATTATCTTTCTATTTTGTTGTCAATTGCACAAATCGACGGTATGTAAAGATAGTGTTAAATCATTTACAACAAAAAAAAAAAACTTTAAAAAACCAAAAAAAAAAAAAGAAAAACGAAGCTCAGATAAGGAATAAAAAATTTTTGCCAATTACTTAGTTATTTAAATGATTAAATAATTTTTAAAAAATCTTTTAAAAAAAAAAAAAAAGAAATGCAATGCTCATATAGCTTTACTGTTTATAAGAAATGTGTTCATTTTCTTTTTGTATTTGATTATTCATTCAAGAAAAAAAATGAGAAGAAAAAAAAATTTTTACAAAAAAAATTAAGTATCATTTTTAATTGTACACATGAAATTGCATTAATGAATAATTTCTTGTTGCTTTCATTTTGTTTGTTTCATTTTAAAGCCATAAATTTTAATAATAATAATAATAATAATGTATTAAGTAAAATGTTATACAAAATAAATGAAATAAAAAAGAAGAAAAAAAAAATTCACTATAACACAATATTAAACATTTTCTTCCATCAGCAATATAATATGTAAATGTTCTTTTTTTTTTCTTTTTCACATTAATTAAAATATTTAATTTGAATTTAAATTTCAAAATTATTTTTCTGAAAGAAAAAAAAAACAATTTTTACCTCTGTCTTTTTCTTTCTTCTCAATTTTATTACAATTAATCCCTATGAAATTTAGCAATTGATGAAAGTAATCAAATATTTCTAACATTTCATAGTATATTATATCATTTCAAATTTATACTTTGTTATATTAGAGCATCTGAGAATATATAAATAATCAGTGTTGCTTTTATAAGTTGATACTTCGACTCTGAAGCAATAAAATATCCAATTTCAAATTTACATAAATTTTGATGGTTGTGGTAGCAATTCAATGTATAACAATCTCTCTCCCCTCTCTCTCTCTCTCTCTCTTTCTCCTTCTCTTCCATAGATTTTGTTTATTTATTCGCTGAAACATTGTGTACTCATTCTCGAGTACCAAGCTAAAACACACACTCACATACATACATGCACACACATACAAATAAATACACTTTCTTTGCGCACATTGGTTATTATAATATACCGTAAAGCTTTTTCAAGTATTTCCGGGAAAAGTGAAACAAAACAAATAAAATATCAATAATAACCTGAATGCTTTATCATAAAAGTTAACGCTTTAAGAATATAAACATATTTACATTTTTTAGAAATGTTTTTTCGAATATTTCCAGAATATCAGATATCATTGTATTTTAACTTGGTTAAGTACCATTAATCCATTGGTCAACCTGTAAAATATCATCAAAAAACTGCTGCTAACAAATATTTTTTTAACCATAAAAACTTTAGTAATATTATACTTTAGCAATGGATGGGAAAAGAAAAAAAACACAAAAAATGCAATATTTTTTTTTATCAAAATATTGAAAAGAAAAAATAAAGATATAATTAATGTATGAAATGAAAATAATTTATTAAAATTATTTTGTTAAATAATTTTTTTATTTTTAATGAAAATGTGTTTTTTATCAAGATGTTGAAAGAAAAAAATAATGAAATAATTAATATATGAAATGAAAATAATTTATTAAAATTATTTTGTTAGTTAATTTTTTTTAAATAAATCAAATGTATTACTAATTAATAATACTATCAAATTGTTACTAATAATTTAAAAATAATTTTGTAAAAAATATTTCAGCTTTCTTTTTCTTCATCGTTTGATTTTTAATTATTAATTGCAATAAGTAAATTTGCACGAAATTTTTAAAATATTGTTGCATTTTTATATTTTCATTAAATTACATATTTATTTTTCATTTTTTTTTTTAATATTTTCAATTTGTTCTTTAATACAATGTATTAATAATAATTTGATAGTATTATTAATTATTAAAAAATACTAATTAATAAATTTTAATATTGAACTCATACTTTAATATTAAACTGTGCTATTATTTTAAATATTTTTTAACAATAGAAAAAAAAATTTTCAAACAATAGTTTATTAACAAATTTTAAATAATAATTTGATTGTTTCATATATCAATAATTTAAAATGAAAAAAAAAAAAGAAGAAAGATTGATAAATATCAATAAATAGAAGAAAAAAAAAATAAATAATTTATAAACAAAAAAAAAAGAAACGATTAATATTTTTGGTTTCTTTTTTCTCTCTGAATTACTGTCAAATATTTTGATACAATGTTTTGATCATTTCTGTGACACTAAATCAATCAATCTATGAAATGATGACTGTCACATAATTACAGGATAACAATGTTAAAGAGATGGGAGAGTGTAATTGAGGGAATAAACTTAAATAATCAAATGTTTGTAGGTTCAAAAAAAGAGAGAGAGAGAGAGAGAGAGAGGTACATAATGGCTGTGAAAGATGTCACCTTTGCAAAGAGATTACTCTTTTCATTTTCTAACTTTTTCCCATCTTCAAATTTTCATCTTTTTTTTTTTTGTTCTCTCCAAATTACTTGTCAACCTTTTTCCTCTCCTTTTTTTTTTTTACTCAATATTTAACCTATAATGATTATTACTATAAATTATCATGATTATCGTTTAATATCGATTGAATAATAATACTAATATATCATGATAATTATTTTCTAAATATTTTATTCCTTTTTCTCTCATTTTTTCTCTCTCTCTCTTTCCCTTTCTTTTCTCCTTTTCGATTATATTTATTAATAAATTTTTCCCTATATATTATTCAACATTACATACCATATACTATCAGCAATTCCTATTACAATATTGTCTCATCAATGATGACCGCTCGATCTACCGTATATCATAAATATAAAATATTTCTCTCTCCCTCTCTCTCTCTCTCTCTCATCTTTATAGAATGTGAATTTTTTCAAATGAAGAAATTTTGAAAAAAAAAAAAGCAAAATAAAATAAAATAAAAAAACGATTATTAATTAAATCAAACAATAAGAAAAATTTAAAAAAAAAAATAAGAATAAACAAAAGAAAAGAATAAAATAATAATAATAATAGCAATAATAGTGACAAAATAATAATAAATAATTATTATTAATTATAGCTATAATAATTGTGTTAAAACAATAATAATTTATCATAAATGATTTGAAAGAATCATTTTCAATTATTCGATGAATTTTTTTTCTTTTTCTTTTTGTTCATTGTTCTGTATTATTGACATAATCATCCCTCCTTTCCTTTTCTTTTCCACTGATAAATTATCACCATATATCTTTCCGTCTCTCTATTTCACAGTCATCCCAACTGATATAACCTTATCATTATCATTATTTCTTACTCATCATCTTATCATTATCACTATTCCTTATTCATGAATCTTTCTATCAGTACAACTATAACGTTACCACTCTTTTCAGTTGCCGTTTCGACTATTCTTAGATTATGCAATCATGAATGATTGATTACATCTTGTACCAAATTTTTAATCATTTTCAAATTCTAATTATTTTCACCAATTTTCCACTTCAAAATAGCATTCAAGCATTTTGAGTGCTAATTACTCATAATAATTGAACGAATTTTTGCATCAAAAAAAGATTGAAAAATTATAAACGATCACAAATTTATCAGCACAAATATAAACAAAATGAATACATAAAGTATGATGAAATAATCAGAAATGAAATTAATTATCCAAAAATACAAATTAGCTAATCAACTAATTAACTAGTCATTTAAAGTGTAAAAAAATTATTAAACTAATTAACCAAAATATATCATTCAGGTATTTATTTATAATTTTGCGAATGAAAAAAAAAAAAGAAAAAAGAAATCATCAAATAATAAGATATACCATACACAAATTGCAATCAGCATAATTAATAATTAATTATGCAAAAACTATACTTCGAATCAAAAATTGTTAATACAGACATCAAATTAAAAAAAAAAAGAGATAAATGAATTCATTTATAACTTTCATATAAAGCTTATAATGATAATATCACACAATCATTAAAATGTAAATGGAAACAAATTTCCTGAACAATAATCAGAATTAAACATATTTGAATTTAATTGTACAAGTAATTCTTATATGATGTGTTAAATTTTAACTAAAAATTTCAAAAGGAAAAGACAATAGATAAGATTGTATATTTATGAAATAAAAAAAAAAAAAAAGATATAACAGAAATATACATTCAAGATCTGTACGATTCAGAAGCACTGGAAACACGAGATGATCGTAAATTAAGCGCTTCAGGCGCAATTGCACGAACAATAGTTGACATTTGCATATTACTCTGTCTTAATTGATTACAACTAAGTGTTAATGCTTTATCACTTCCCAAAATAGCCCAACAAGAATTCTGATAGTTACGACAATATATCAGTAGTAATACTTCAACATCAACCTGATCACAACAACCATATTCTGCACCAAATTGTTGTCTGCAAAATAATATTTATCAAATTAATAGATTATATATGTCATATTTTTTTTTTTATCATTTGTATCATTTATCATTTTATCATTTGCAAAACGTTACAATATTTTTTTTTTTATAAAAAAATTTGATAAAAATCTAATAATTATTTCTCTCTTTCCTTTTCCTTTTTTTTTTCAAAGTTATATGTTCTGTCTATCTTTATCATTAAAATTTCTAAAAATAAGATTATTGAATTATTACATCATTCAGTTATAGTTAATTTTCAAATGTAAAATTCCAATTTTCAAAATTCTATTTTCCTTTATATTATATATATATATATATATATATTGATATTGATATCAAAGTAGTGAAAGAAAAGAAAAAAAAAAGAGAGAGAGAGAGAGAAAAGGATATAAATGAAAGAGGTAGCAAACAAAGCCATAAATTAAACTTGAAATGACGCAAATAGCATTTTCAGCAAAATTACACTTTGAAAGAATCATTTTCGTATTATGAATATAAGGCCTAAAAAGATTGCTAATAAATGTTTAGCTTTTTAAGCACTAATAATAGATGATAATTGATAAAAAAAAGGAGAGAAATGTAATTTCTTATCATCAATTGCTCTCATTAAATCATTTTATAGGACGTTTAGCTTTTATCATTTTAACAAAAGCAAAACAATATTCACTTCCTTTTTTTTTTTTTATTTTTTCTATCTTTCTACTTTCACTTATCACATTCCTTCATTTTAGAATGTAAATGAAGTTAGCATTTATTTCTCAAAAAAATTTTTCCTCAACCATTAAATTTTCATTTTTTTTCTTTTTTTTCAAATTCCTTCCGTTATATTATTTAAAACTTATAAAACTTCTAGAAGTAATCACTAAATTATCAAATAGCAAATCATATAACAGTCTAACAATAATCAATTTCTTATCTTTCCATTAGTTAAATTAATATAACTTGAAACCAAGCACTGAAATTAAACAATTTTAGGAGATTTTTTTTTTTGTGAAATTTTTAGCAATAGAATAGTTGAAATTTCGAAAACAATGCATTGAATTATACTTCAATAAAGTAATTTTTTCTTTTGCTTACAAATTTTCAAATCTTAGAAAATTTTTAGATTCTTTATTTACATCTTAAAATAAAAAAAAAATTTTTTTTTTGTTATACATGTAAATTATTAAATATTGAGCAATAAAATGTGATCGATATTATTAAAACTACCGTAGGACGAGCAAAAAATTCAATGAAATAAGATCTTTTGCTTATCTCTTTGACTAATTTTCCATTTCGAAAACATTTCAATCGCAGTAATAGCATTTATGAAATGTTAAGCATCAGCTGGTAATGATAAATTAAATATGACAAAAACAGAGAAAGAAAATAGAATCAATTAGTCTCGAAAAAATTCAAAGAAATTACCATCTAACTTTTATTTCTTTTCTTTGGAAAACTTTCCCAAAAAAAAAAAAGATGAGAAATGTTTAAAAGTAGGCACATTATAACATATGAAGCCAGGTAAGATTGATAATAAATATTGCTAATTCTTTCTTCATAAATTTAAATGTGAACAATTATGAATAAAACAGATTGAATTATTTAAAAATAATAAAGTCAAGAAAAACAAATAAAATGAAATATAGGAAGTAAAAGTTAAGTTTAAAAAAGAGTAAAAAAAGATGTGTATCAAATAAATAATGTATTTAAGCAAAACTTATCCACTTTTTAATCTTTTTTTTTTCTTACCTTTACATTTTTCCTATTTCTCTATTTTTTTTCCTCCTAGCTATTTACTTTAACAAAATATTGTTAAAGTAAATTAGTAAATCAAAAGAAAAAAAAAATTTTTTTTTTCTTCTTTCATATGAAATTTTCAATTTATAAATCAGAAAATCAGATATGCTATGATTGGTATTTTTTTTTAAAATTATTTTTTAAGCATTGTGATATATTTAAATAACAACAACAACAAATACATAAATAAATGTTAGAAAAGAATCAAAAAAAGACGAAACGAAAAATATTAAAGACTTCATATATCATTCAATTTAATCCATTTTACAATTGTTTTCTTTTTTCCTAATTAAAAAAAAAAAAATATGTTCATGAAAAAATTATAAAAGCTGCAAAGAAGAATAAGAAGTTTGATAAATAAATTATATGTATTTATTATTTTTTTTTTTTTATCATCTTATTTTTCATTTATTAAAAGTATACATTTCCATTGTCTTTTTTTTTCTTTTTTAAATTTAATATTTTTAGATCATAAAGAAAAAGTAAAAAAGAAATTTTTTCAAATCAAAGAAATGAATTAAAAAAATGTTTGCAATATTATCATCACATTGTCTTGTTAATATTACTAACAATTTTTACAAAATGTTAAATCTTATTTTATTACATCAATAAAATTAATATATCAATTTTTTTTTTTTTTTTTAAAAAAAAGACTACAATTTTTCATGACAAAGAATTGCCATTATTTTCATCTTTTCATCAATAAATCTTTAGTTTATAATGTCTTTTGGACTCTTCACAATCATCTAAAATATCTGTTATTTCTTTTGTTCTGAATTCATAACTACTACTCCTTTAACATATTTCTTCTTCAAGCTATCAACATTTTTCATCTAAAGTCAGTTGTTGCTAGTTAATGATAAATATTGATGAAACGAAAAGAAAAAGAAGTTTGTTCAACAAACAAAAGAACGTGTTTGTGGTTTTTTTGCAAGAAAAATGAGTTAAAAAAAAAAAAAAAAAAACTTAGGGACTACGTATGATTTTTTTTAGCAGTTAAAATTAAAATTTTAATTAACTATATATTTATACATACATATATGTTTTTTTCATATTAAAAATACTATACTATAAATTAAATACTATATGTAATTAAAGTATTACTGCAATTCATTTAACTATATTACATTTCACTAAATACTATATTGCTACAACTCAATTACAAAACTCGAATGCTAATTTAATAGTATCATTTCAAAGTTATATCATTATTTTGCAGTTTTTCCAGTTGATAACCTGATAGTATGATAATGATAGTTTGATAAGTGAAAGACAATTTATTGGCTAAATTTTGAAATTTTTGATCATTCTTTTCCTCTTCTTTCTTTTTTTTTTTTCAAATTTTCAATATGATACATAATTACAACAAAAATTATTTGTTGTAATTCACTTTTAGGAAAATCATCACACCACCGTAGTCAAATCAAGGACACTAACAAACAAAAGGATCACAACGAGATTATATTCGCTCACTTGTCATCATTTAACCTTCGTAATTATGGATGGTCATCATCATCATCATCATTATCAGCATCATAGATGATGATAATTTATTATATTTATAATAAATTCTAACGAAATGAAATTATGAAATATGATAAAAAATTTCCTTAAAAAAAAAAAAGGGTTGAAATATGACAACAAAACATCTGTTGTTAATAACGGATAAAGATGATTTTGTACAAATTAATTAAGTCGTGAGATGATCGATGTAATCTTACCTATGACGCGCCATATGCAGATTCTTATCTTAACCTTTCACCTTTTTTTCTCTTTTTTTTCTTTCTCCCTTTTTTTACCGATCTGTTTATGATGTAAATTACCATGCAACAAATGCTAAAATGTTCTCATCGAAATCATACTGTAGGATTATTTTTCAATCATAACATTTCTCAGCTAATCTAATATTTCTTTCTTTTTTTATTTTTATACTCTGAGAAAAGTAATTTTTGATTTTTTTTTTTTGATTAAATAAAACTAAAAAATATAATTGAAAAAGAAAAAAAAAAACATTTACAGTAGAAAGTGTTTTCGAGAATTATAAGTACATTTAAATACTAATCTTGTTTGCTTAATTTATACCAGTCAAATTTTTTAAATATTTTCATTCTGTTAAAATAAATTTTAGGTTACAGTACTTTCTTCCAACACTATATGCATCACAAAATTTTCCCATATCATATCAAACATTTTAGGAAGTAATTTTGGAATATAAAATGATGAATTTAATTGCATTTTTCTTTCAAATTAACAACTAATTATGAATATGAATTAATATTAAGTTAAACTAAAGCTAAATTCGATTTTATTTTATTTCTTTTTTCTTCCATATTTCTAAAACTAATGTTAACATTTGTTGAAAAATTTCTCGAAAAAACAAAACAAAAAGAAAAAAATCATTTTAAAAGTAAATTATAGTTGATAATAATTGTAAATATTTCTCCTACATTTTGCAAATTTTTTTGTAAAAACTTCAAAAATAAAAAAAAAAATAAATTAATCATAAAATTTCTATTTAAATATAATAAATATAGCAAAAAATTACCAATGAGAGAGATAAATGATATTGATGAGATGTTAAAAATGGTCAATCAAAAACCACCAATAGGTTAGATTGGCTCCATGATGACTGAGAATTCTTCAAAAAAAAAAAAAAAAAAGAGAGAGGAAAGAAAACTTATTTGACATCTTCACTCACTTCATCATTTATTTGCCAATATTCCTCACAAATAACAACATCTGCTAAAAAGAAGGTTTAGAGAAAAGCTAAAGATAGTAAAAGATTTTTATCATGAATAAAATCTTTTACTACCATAACGAAATCATCGAACAAATCTTTCTTTTTTCTTTTTTATGCCGAAAAAAAAAAAAAGAAAGAAACGTTTAAAATTATTCAATTTCTTTTATCATTTTTAAAAAGGGATGTGAAAGTAAGAAGAATAAAAAAGGAAAAAGAAAAAAAACAGATGAGATAGAAATAATTTAATTAATTTTCATTAATATACATATTCTATGATTATATTCTACTGATAATTTTTTTTTCTCTCTCTCTCTCTCTCTCTCTCTCTCTCTCTTAATAATCTTAAAAAAAGAACTTCGAAAATTTCACATCATATTATTTTTATTGTATGCTAATATTAAGTCATCTATTTCAAATGTAAACTTCTTCTTATTTAATTTGATTAATAAAAATTATGAAGTAATTTGTTAAATGCTAATATCAAACAGATCTTTAAATTGAATAAATCAAACTAATAATTAAAATATTGAAATTCAACATTTTAATTTTTCTCTCAGTTATTTGCATACATGTTATCTATTTGATATACTGATAAATTAGAAAATTAAATAGTAAACATTTGCAAAATTAAAAATAACAAAAATATTGAATAAATAGCACATAATCCTATTAAGTCTAACTAATTTACTTATCCATCATTATACATTTATAACAAATAATAATAGCTAAGAATAATTGTCGTAAAATTGATAATAAATCTTTTAAAGAAACAGATACTATCAATTGCAAAAAAAAAAAGAAAAAAAGTCAAACAGAAGTGATGATTCATTTTTGAGAAATACAATTTGAAATTTATTGAAGAAAAGAAAGAGAAAAAAAAAATGAGAAAATTAATCGATGATCTATTTTCAAAGTATTCAACATTTTTTTTTTTTTTGAAAATGGCTGTATAATAATTGTTGAAGCATTTTTTTTTTAATTTAGAAAAAAAAAAAGAAAATAAAATTATTCATCAGGTAAAATACAACTATTACCTGAGTTGCCGTAGCAAATGTAAAGCATTCCTGTATTGTTTCTTTTGCATTAACATTAATAATGCATCCGTATTTGATTCAATTGTTGCATTTGATATACCATTTTCTAAACCGTGTACCGAATCCGGAATACTTGCTAGTAAACATCTATGCAAACATAATACTTCAGCTGATATATCAGCATTCTGAAATGAAACATTAATAATATTTCATACATATTTCGATTATTTAATATTATCCTTTCAAATCAATTACTATTTTCTAAATTTGGTCAATAAAAGATTTATTGCTATAACGTAACCGGATTCACCATTCTAATTTGGTAATTTCAAGTAACATGAATTTCCGGTTAATAATTATTCTTGCTTATATTATAGCAATTTTAGAAGGTCATTTTGCGAATTCGCTACCATTCAACCTAATTTCATATTGGTAATAAGAAAAAAAATCTTTTCCCACATCGATGTTAACATTCTCAAATATATCTTGGAATATTTTTTTTTTCTTATTTAAAATTAGAATTTTTATTTCAAGTCATCGATCTTTTTGACCTCAATTATATCATTTCAATAAACTGAATAACTCAATTCACTCTTATATGAATATTATTTGTATCTTATTATTATGAATATTATTTGTATCTTCTTATTGAGATTGTTTACTATCTTGCAAAAAAAAAAAAATTTAATTTCAGGTGAAATTTTAACTATTATTACTTGCATACATATATAAATTTGCAATTGATTATATATATATATATTTTAATTTATAAATTTTAATAGTATATTTTAGAGTAAACGAAAGAAAGTGAATATTTCAGTTAATTTAGATTGTATTAATCATATCTAATACTGGAATTATTAATGTTGGTAATAAATTACTGCAACTAACAGTCGGATAATTATCAATGCAAGGTGTTGACAAGTTACAACGATGAAGTTATCGTGATGGGATTATTCTCTCATCAATCAAACATTCATCCATAATAAAAGTAACACAAACATTAATAATCATAATTAAAAGAAAGAAAAAAAAATGGGTCATATATTTAGCTCAAAAATAATATTATATATCTGACTTAACTAACTATTTTATTTATGATTAAAAAAAAAAAAAAGATTACTGATAAAAAAAGGAAATAAAAAATTGATTCAAGAATCGATGCAAAAATGACAAAAATAAAAAATAAAAATAAATTTGAAATAATATGAAAAGATAAAAAGAAAAAAGGCAACAATTAATATATTTACTCATTTAGTAATCCTAATTTGCTTATTCAATTAAGCGATGAAGAAAAGATTATATTAATATAATTTTGTTTTTAAATGTCATTACATTTTGACAAAGTCTACTTTAGCTTTATTAATACTTTACTAATTTACCGCCATAGATATATACGTATATTATATATATATAAAATACAAATAATTAAAGCTATTTTATAATTATATTCACTATCATTTTTGTTCATTATGTTTTTATAGTTATTAATTAATCTCTGAAAAAAATGCAAAAAATCATTATAAACAAACATTGCTAAAGATAATTTTAAGTATAAGTATTCATATTGTCAAATAATGCATCAAATCGAATAATACAAAATGCTAATACATTGATTTTAAGTCAATGTTAAGTCAAAGCTAACAAATATACTAAATTAAAGTGCATTCAATCCCAAAATAATTATTAAAAAGTTTGACAGATACAAAGTTATTAATTAACTTCATACAGTTAGAAAACCACAAGCAATCTTATAATTATAGAAATTCATTTTGGCAAAAAGAATTGAATGAAAAAAAAAAAAGAAAAACGATTGTTTACATCATTTAATAGAGAAAAAATTCATTATAAAAATAGATGAATGGGTATTAATACCTGAACATCAGATGCATTAACTATACTTTTCACCATTTCATCAAATTTATCCGTAATTTGAAGTAGCTGGAAGAATAATTTATGCACCGATCGACATAATTCTAAATACTGAAATGCAAATTTCAGTAGTTTAACGATACAAATAAAAAACATGAAGAAAAAGAAAATAAGTATGAAATTTTAGGATGAAAACAAAATTAAACGAATACAAACTTGATTTGAAGTAATCGCTGATAATGATGGACCACCAATTAAGGCTAATTTCATTGTTGCTTTTATCGCATTTAAAGCCTAAAAATTATCACTCTAAATGTATAATTCTTTTCTAATTTACAAATATTAAAAAAAAAAATCCTAAATGAAATAGTCTAAAATTCACACTACAAATTTTTATCTAAATTATTAATTACAAGACCTATTACTATCATCTATCATTTATACTTACAAAAATCATTTACATATCATCTAAATATCTTGATTGCATGCTATCAGATAGATCATTATATTCGATAGCATGCAATCATATTATCAATGAAGAGATATGTTAACGATAACGATAAGTAAAGTATAGTAATGATTATTCTAATCTAAATAAACCTAAATTTCCAATCAATTTATTTTACATTAAAAATTTTATTCTTTCGATCTTTTTAATCGATTGTTATTGTTACTTTGTATAAAATATTAATAACATATTTCTATGCTTTTTTTTTCCGAATTATATCAAAATAATCTTCCAATCTAAATTACTGGTAATAACTTAACAAATTAGTTATTCATACAGTATAGCTCATCTTACTGTTATATCAATTATTTGTATCATAATTTTTTGAATAAACTTTTTCAGTATAATCTGATGTAAATTAGATGTGAATTTTCTATTCTTAACTTTTTTTTTACATCAAACATCATCAGATTTGACAATTTCACTGAAAAACTTAAATGACAGTGGATTGATTTCTGATGATAGTATAGCAAAGAAAAGATGGAAATTATTTTCCGTTCCATAAAATGCTATGAATTGCTTCCGTTATGCAAACGGAATGATCAAAACAAAACGGAAGGAAGGAAAGGAAATATCTGGTACTAACCGTTAGACAATAAATTTATTGTTAGATACAAATCTATAATCGGTATATTTAGATGATATTTGGAAAGATGACAATAAAAGCAAATTAACAAATTATTGGATGCTTCATTTATTGAACTCTCACACATTTCTCTCTTTGTCTTATTTTTAAATTTTTAACAAATAATTTAATACCAAAGTTCTTTTTCTTTTTCTTTCTGATAATGAATCTATTTTTCCTCCTTTGTCAAAAAAAAATACAATTTTAGCATATGATATTAAAAGTCAAAAAATTTTTCAGTAATTTAAAAGTAAATGAAATTCATGGATTAGTGAAATATATCATACATAACAGTGTATCCACAAGATATAACTATATAATTTTCAACAAATAATATGGTGTAAATCAATTCAACAATGATTTAATTAAATAGATAGATTAATCTATGTATGAATTTCATGCAAAAAATTTTATATCCATCTATCTTATTAACTGATGTAAACAAGTTAAACAATTATTAACAAAGTAAATACTACGTAAAGTTTAAAGTTATACCATATGAAGTAATATAAATCAAACCATATAGTACTAAACAAAAATAATCAAAAAATATCAAAGCATAACTTTATAAGCACACTTTTAAATCATCCTTCTATTATGCTTGCTAATCATATATCAAAAATTCGACAATCTTTCCTTCTAATAATCTTGTTTTTGTTCTTTTAAAACATACAAAATGCTAATCTTTTTTTTTTTTTCAAAAGTCTATCAAATTTAAATGGACTTTTTAAAAATCACTCAGGCATTTAGCTTCTTATTTGTGCTAATATGAACAAAAAATTTTATAGACTCAAAGTCTATAAAACAAATAAATAATTAGCAACGATACAGAGAGAGGAAGAAAAAAAAAAAGCTTTACGTAATATTTGATAGTAGTTAAATAGGCCTAATTTTGAAAATTTTAATAGATAAATATTAAAATAAACTACTAAGCAATTGAATGAATCGTAAAAAAAAAAAAAAAAAAAAAGGAAAGCCAATATTCTCATTAAAAATTTTTCTAAATAACTCAATATTCTCATTACTCACTCTCTCTCTCTCTCTCTTCCTTGCCTTTTTTCTTTGTTTTAATTTAATTTATTTTATAAATAAATAAAAAAAAAAACTTACCCGAATACATTGTTCTTTTCGTTCCACAAATATCTCATAATGTTCATGTAATTCTAGTAATAAACATTTCTGCTGTGATAACATTTCAATGTTACGTAACTGCAAAAAAACATTAATATAGAATGGCAAAAATAAAATAAAATAAAATGAAATGATTACAGTAAGATAATAAAATTATTACTATGGATATAACTAAGAGTAATAGTAGTAGTTAGCGGTAGTAGTTATTTCATCAAAATTTAATAGATTTTTCTTTTTTTTTTTAAATTTGTTTTTTTATTTTAAGATTTAAAATACATTGAAACAAATATTTCAAAATTATAATTGATATAATAAAATATTGTTATAAAATGTAAATGATTTTTCGGAAAATTTTTCACTAAAAGTGTAAACAAAAGATTAATACCCCAGAAATTTTCCGGAAATTTCTCAATGAAAGTACTGTGTTATTCTTAGTGATAACTATTGAATGCCTAATATTGTTTTATAATAATGCTTTGTTTGATTGAAGTAAGACAAAGTATTACTACAAAAATCTTTAAAAGTTTATAAATTTCACCAATAATTTCTTCTCTATCTTTCGTTAAATAACTTTTTAACATTTTTTTCTTTTCCTTTTTTTTTTTTCTTTTTTTGAAATTTCTCATTATAAAAATCTCTTATATTAAATCATTAAAAATCTTAAATTCAAACAATTTTAAATTCAATTTAAAAAATTTTCACCTTATTTTTAACTAAAAAATTTATTTCTTCAAATGTTTTTCAAAATATTTTAAAATATAAATTCGTTCAAAATAAAAAAAAAATATATTAATTACATAGTTTATAAGAAGTCAAATAATACAAGTATGACAGTATATGTATATTTATTTATGTTTAAAAAAAATTTTTTTTTATTTTAATTTTTTTTTTTTTTTTTTAAAGAGCAAATTATTTGCTTGAGATGTGATAATGTTATAGCATGTGCAATGTGATAATAGTTGGTAACATAATCGCGGTAAGCTCTTCTTAATCGTAAAAAGTATTTGATGTTTGCGCAATTGAAGTGTGCATGCATTACTTTCAGATGTAGTGCTAAAATGCAAAATGCATGCTGGATTCAAATTTCACTTGATTAATAAGTAGTTCAGTCTCCCTCTCCCTCTCTCTCTCTCTCTTTCATTATATCCTTTAACTATTAAATAATCAACAGATTGCTTTTTTACATATGGTTTCAAATATAATAAATATGGAATTTAATAGATGATGACTAACACTTACCTTATCTTTTAGTATTATTATAACTACCAAATAAGGACAATGATAAAGATAGGGACCAGCAATTTTAGTAGACAAATAATTTTAACAACTTTTAGTTAACAAAATTAAATTAATATAATACAAAAACTCTGGAACTGGATTTCATTTAAATTTAAATATTTCATTTCAGTTGAAAAATATCTTTTTACAGTTCAGCAGTATAGATTATTTTCTAAATTACTTTCAAATAAAATTATATTTAAGAATAATTTGAAATTACTGCAAAACGAAATTTTCATATATATATATATGTATAATTCCTTAAAAAATTTATGGAAGCCAAAAAACAAAAACAAAAAAAAATTAAAGAAATATTAACAGTATAAACCATTTTTGTTGGGAAAATGAAAGTAGAAGAGATCAATAAAAAATAGTCAAATAATTACATATCTCTATTATTAAACTTATTTTAAGCTTATTTGATTCTCTATTATTAAATTTATTTGATTGACTATGAATTCACAAAATTAATTACTCCAAATTAACATTATTCAACTTTTTTTTTTAAAAAAATTAAAATAACCATTTTCCTATTATTCACTATTTTCATTAATGTTTAAAATTTGTGGATAAAAATTTAGTAAAATCAACATACATGTTGAGCTGTAACAAACAGAAATGGACAGTCGAAAATTTTAAGAACAAGATCCAATGCTTCACTGAATTGAACAGAAATTTCATGATGAGATGTGGAAAGTACTTGTGATGCATCTCGTAATATACCAGATAATTTCAAACAACATTCCTAAAAATTTATTTTTTATATATAAATTAGAAATGGAGATGAAATTTTCATTTAATTTAATTTAGTTTTATTGAGAAAATTTGCAAACTTTATTATATTATCATTCCGATTTTTTCTTTTTCTTTTCCATTTCTTTTCAAATTTTATATATGTATATATAAAATATATAAAAACTTAACACCTGCTTTGAATATATCATTTTTTCTCTCTCTCTCTCTCTCCAGTAGCATAAAAGATATCATACAGGTAATTTGAGAATGAAGTAAGTACTCTTATATTTATTTAACTTATTCTCTCAGAAGTAATGGACAATGAAATTGATATTGATGATTTTGAATGGATGAAGTCAAGCAATTTGCTGCTGTATGTTTTATTTGCTTAACACTAGCAGTGCAAATGAAAGCGACAGGATGGATTTTTTCTCTTATTTCTATTTTGTAATATGATATACCGAGAAATTATAATACAGATTAAAAGTCTTTAAGCATTTAGTTCATAAAATTATATTTAAGGGAACAAATGAACATAATATTGAGATTTTATAAAAGGAAAATTTTAAATTTTATCAATGAAATGATAAATTAAAATTTATTCTCGACCTCTAATTTATTCTCGACTATATAATTCATTGAACTACAAAATCTAATACAAAATCTTCATACAAGATAAAATTTTTAGTTAATAGTGATTATATACTAACCAAACAAAAGAATTATGATATAATTTAATATAAATATTTCGTTTTGGTTTATGATTATTATGGATTCGGATATATGCCCGATCTTAGGGCAACTCTACACAAACTTTCTTAACACAGATGTAGAACAGAAAGAGTCAAAATATGAAAATATATTTTAAATATATTTTATCGATTTTAAAAAAGAAAAAAAAATCTTATATAAGATAACTTACTCGATAGAGCTGGGTAAAAAGTAAAGTTGCATGAGCCGTCAAATCACCACTTTCATCAGCACTCAAATCCACAAAACTTGAAAGCCATTGATGCTCACCCTTGAAAATTTTTACAAGTTCAAATATTTCAATAACATTCTGTCAATATCAATAACAACAAAGTTTCATCGCACACAAGTTATGTCAAATAATCTTATTTTTATTGATAAAAAGATGAAATCAATTACTGATTAATACATCAATACACATAAAATCTAGTAAAGTTCTGAATACACAAGTGAAAAAACAAAAAACAAAAATGTTCCAAAGTATAACTCTTCTAAGAGTACTTATATAATGATAATCATTTAAGCTAATTAATGCATATTTAATTCGTAGAAAGGAATAACGATTAATTGTAGTACATGTAAAAATTTTATAGGTCAGTTAAATAAAATATTAATTTCAAATTGGACTTTATAAATGTCACAAAGGATTTCAACAAACAAACAAACAAATAGAAACAACATGAACTTACTTGAGTTGAAGCATGATGATTACATTGTAGAAATAGAGGAGGTCGTTTCAGTGGTACATTTTCTACCGATGCTACCGAATGACTACATCGAATAGATTCGGCTAATGATGACATATCTGCCATTCTGTAAATTTTATAACACATATGAATTTCTGGTTAATCATAAAAAATTTAATAATTCATAAAAAATTGGTGTTAAAAAGCACTTACCGAAGCTTTTCGTCATCGATAGCAAATTCATCTAATTCTTCTTCACAACTTTCTTCTTCGGAAACACTTTCACTACGAATTCCTGATTCAAGTGGTGTCCTTTCACTTGATACTTCGAGTGAATCAGAAGCTGCATCAATAAAGGTAAATTCATCAATAATGCACATTTTAAAAGTGTAATAAAGAAAAAAAAAAAAAAGAAAAGAAGAAATTTGTATCTGCACAATGTTAACCTGCTGATGATGGACGTTGATCACCAGCAATTTCGGTACATTCATCATCCTGATACTGCTCCTCAACATCAATGCCAACTTTACTGATAGAATGTGGTCGTATTGTTGAAAGCCAGTTAAAACATGATTCTGTTGATTCTGATACAGTATCATGTTCCGCTTCCAAGAAATCAAATTCACTAAAAATGCTAACCACTGATTATAATTGCACTATTATTAAATGCTACATTATAATTTCATCTTTTCAAAAATAAAGTTTGAATATTTTCTTTTTTCAGTATAATTAAAATTTAATTCAATTACAAAAAGAAAAAAAAAAAAAAGAAAGCTAAATTACCGGAATACACGAGGAAAAGAACTGGTAACAGATTGATCCACTGCTAATGATGATGCTGATTCAGCATCACCAACATATGATGGTGAGATTCGTTCTGTTGAAGTGGAATTTGAATTTGGTGGTTCATAAGAGATATCATGCAATGATTGTGAAAAAATTACCGAAGCACTTTTTGGTAAACCAACACGAAGTCCGGAAGCATTCAGTAAACTGATCAAACGTTCTCGTACTTTTATCTTTAAATTTAATTGTGTTTTAATTTGATTTAAAATTGAAACTCAAATATAGCTAATAAATTAGCTGTAAATTGTAAAGTTTTACAAATTTATGTTAAACTTAAACCTGGTTACATGTAGTATGTTTTCGTAATGATGCTGTTTCTGGAGTACTTTTATGTAAAGTTGAAGGTATAAAGCAACCACGTAGTGGAACTTCCAATTGAAGTCCTTCCGGTCGAGCAACTTCATCTGATTCTGGTCCATCCTGAATTACACAAAAAAAAAAATTCCTTCATACTATTTTTCCATGTAGTAGAATCATTTGACAATTGGTACTAACAAAATTTACTGAAACATCTTCTTGAATTTAAGTGTAGGAATTAAATTTGAATTTGATAAATTAACAAATAAAAAAAATTTACAATAAACTAATCGAGTAATTAACACTACACTACATATTTGTCAATTTTATAATGCGGTGTAATTAAAATCTATGTTTTTTTTTTTTTTTAATTGTGGTACCTGAATGGAACCATTATAACAATCTTTTAGATGATCCTTAAATATGTGTTACTCCTAAATTCGTCAGATTATTGCGCAAAGGATAAAAGGTTTCCTCTAATCTTACTTCGATAATTATAGTAACATTTTGAGGAAAGAAATATGAAAAACATATGTAAATGGTACGGATATTTGTTCAGGGTCATTTAAATTGGACAAATAAAATAAAATAAAATATTCAACTATAAATGCAAATAAACCATACTGATATATGACCATCAATAGCGACACTATCATATTGTACAAAACATTTCAAAATTTTTGAAGCATCCTTCCAATTTGGACCCTAAATTTATGCTTTCTTTTTAATTATTTTGTTATATTACGATGAGTAGATAATGTAAAAAAACAAAAAAAGTGATTCAGTATGCTTTAGTGATAAATTGATAACAATATTGCTTCAATTTAAGTATACGATAACAAAAAAAAAAAACCTTCTGGATATTGGTCTCAAAATGAATAAATTTAAAATCCAAATAAATCATTCCTTAATTGGAATTAAAAACTAAAGGAGTAGCTAACCTGTAGATGCTTTGATACAACTCGTATAACCTGAAAAAAAGAAAGCGAAAAAGAAAATTGAAAATAATAAAATTTAATTTTTTTAAACTTCAAATTTTGCATAATTTATTCAATCAATGAATTTAATGCACAATGTTTGGTAATAATAAAAAGTAGATTTTAAAGATTAATTGGATAATTTTATGAGTAATATAAATACGTTTACAATAATTCAGCAAATATAGATCATTGAAAGATGAAGAGAGACTCTATCAAAGAGATAATTTTACTAGGATAAATAAATATAAGATACCGAAAAACCATAATATGTTTGGTAGATGAGCTATGAAAAAGACATTAAATTTTAAGAATAACCACTATCGATATATAAGTATTAATAAGAAATGAAAGATGAGAAATAATAAAAGTAAAACTGATACAGATGCGATTGATAATTTGCCCATGGGAATAATCATAAAACTGGCATATTATAAGTATTTTTAAATGTTCATATAAGAAAAGGGAATAATTAATTCTGATAAATTATTAAAAATTTTCCAACAAAAAAAAAAATGATAATTTTTATGATTTCTTTCAACATATGCTAATTTAATTCCTACAAATTAATGATAAGATATGTGAAAACATTATAATATCTGATAAACAAAAACAAAATGAAAGATAACTAGAATTTTAAATTTAAATTTTAATTTTCGTTAAATTTCATCCATCTTTTTTTTTGCAGAACTATATTTATTCATTTGCAAAATTTGATTGAAATATGATGAACTTTTATATCATTAATATATGAAATGATTATAATGGATCAAAATTTCATTTTGTATTTTTTATTTTTTATCAATAATTTCACTCAAAACAATCTCATTAAACTAACACACATAGCATTTCTAATAATCTGTGATTTTACTCACTTCAACATTTTCCAACTATGCAATCTTTTTGTTCAATTATTTGAATAAGGTGTAATTCAGTTGTTGACAGATGTCCTTCGTACTATTATTATGTCCTATGGACAAATAAAAGCATAACAGGTGACAAAGAGAACTATTATAAGGAACTTTTAAAATCTGTCTTTTTAGAGCATTAAATTCATGTGCAAAAGTATTTTAAGATAAATCTTTAATTGGTGACGAAAATCACACACACATACACACACACACACACACACATACATACACACATACACAAATATATTTCTACATAATATTAAAACATTATAAAAATTTTTCAAGGATAGATTATAATCGGCAAATCTTTTATAAAGGATTTTCAAAGGAAAATTTTAATGGCGATTATTTTAATGGCGGCTCAAATCAAACATACATCATTTCAATAACATATGGTGAAAAATCGGTGGAAGAAAACAAGGGAAAAGAAAGGGGAAGTAAAATTAAAATTCATTACAACAGGTGCATTTATTTCAATAACTATCTCATATAAAGAACAAACAGTAAATAATAGCACTTTATGTTTAAAACTGATAACAATCTACACTTACTGATAAATGAACTTTTAAATTTGAATGTTAAATTTTTGAAATAATACATTATATAATTTAAGGGTATGTATTATTTATTCTATTCAAAAAAAAAAAAAAATCGTTTAAATTTAAAAAAAATAAAACAAATCCTTGCATTTATTACTATTTTATAAAATATTGTTAAAATTACGATATGTAAAAAAATCAATTTGACATTGAAAAAAAAATTGGATTAAGAACTAAAACTAATCAAATAAGTATGAAGAAGATTTTTTTCTTTTCAAATGTAATAAATTTATTAATATTTCTATCAAAATTGCAAAAGTTTTCCAAATTTATTCACTGATCTTTTTTTTTTCTTTTTTTTAAAATTTTTTCACACAAATCTTTTGCTTATCTTTCGTTTAGTTATTTTTCTTACTTTTTCACTGTTGTATTTTTTAAAAATTATAAATCTTACAAATATCATTCAGCATAAAATGATATATGTAAAATTATTTTAAAAATAGCACAATCCTTTATCATATATAAATTTTATTTTAATCAATCATTATTTCTATTATAAAAATTTGTACAGGAGATTCCTATTTATTGTCAAAAAAAAAAAAAATAATACTTTTCTTATAAAATTTCAAGTAACTTTTCCTACTCATAAAAAAAAGAAAAGGTAAAGCATAAATTAAACAAACAACATTTTAAAGAAAAAAATTACCTGAGCATTTAAAGATAACGGTGAACAACGTGATAAATCAGCATTACCAGCCAATAAATGTAAACAAGAAAGTATATAAGTATGTAATGATGTTATACTTCTTTCCAACATCTGTAATATTAAAATAAACATCTGTAATATTAAAATAAACATTTGTAATATTAAAATGCAATTATTAAAATAAATTTATGCTATGCTTTCTAATTTAATTAAATCTAATTTGTTTAATTTTGTCGTTAATATAAACAATGATATAGAGTATCAAAATTTGTAACTTCTATGTTAGAGATTATTTCAATTTTTCTCCTATCTTCTACTATTTTTCATTGCTCATGATTTGAATTATTTTAATTTTTATCTCAAATATTTTGTTTCTATTGAAGGCACATTAAAGTTTATCGAAGTAAAAGACAAACTTTGTTTATGCTTATTAAAATTTTAATTTCAATTTATGTTTCTAAGGATACATATCAAACTTTTTTTTTTTTTCATAAACATCTATTTCTTCTTACTTCTAAAGCATTTTTCTTTTTTTTTAAATATATATTATATAAAATGCATTTATTGTTTAATGTAATGGTCAACTACTGATTAAAGTATTTTCTTAAAAAATGCAAAAAATTGAATCTTGTTTTATATTTCATTTCATCTTATAATTAGGCTTATCTTTTTCTTTCTTTTCTCATTTTTTTTTTTTGCTTTTTACAGTATTCTCATCTCCAATTATTTCAATGATAATAAGAGCACATTGATGATAATCAAAATAGATTATCAAAATAGATTGATGGATAATTGTAAAATCTACGAATAGTTTCTTTTTTTTTCTCTCTTATTTTACTTCTCGTTGTAATATTTTAATAATTTATGATTTAGACAATTTTACCATACATTTTCCAAAATTAAATATAATGAAGTGCTGTAGTTAAAATGATGAATTCATCAAAGATAATACAGCAATAGCATATAATATTCACATCAACTTTCTATCATTTCTCTTTTTTTCATTATTTAAATTCCTCTGGGAAAACTCGGGTATAAGAAAGGAGAAGAATACAGAATTATAATTGTTTTATGACAATTTTCGAGCTAATTGAGCATATATAAATTGCAATTATTCATAAATAATTTGTGTTATTTGTGCCGCTTGTCACAATCATATCCTATCCTCAATCATTCTCAATCCTAATCTCATATTATTACCTATTACTACTACTACTATTACTACAGTTCTTTAAACATAGGTTTCCAAATTTATTCGATACACCGCCATAAAGCTATGATGAAAGATTGTGACCTTTTGGCGGTGACATCATAAAATTATGCATATCTTTCTCTTCAAATCTTTCATATTAAACACTGCAACAGTATCATCACTCTACCATATATACTTCTTATAGGTCACACTACTACACATATCATGCGGTCATCAATCGGTCAAACTATATACGATTTGATGATATGCATTAGAAGAATAATCTAACCAAAAGGAACAATAAAAATAACAATATCTATAATCTAAAAATGATATGCATAAAGATTTTACCAAAGTACTATTATATCAATTTAAGATTTTAAAATTTATACACTTAAATTCTTTCAATTTTACAAATAAATTTTGATATTGAATTTGAACAATTAACTTTCTTTCGAAATCAAATAATAGAATAAGATATATCTAAACTTTAATTCATTTCATCACTAAAATATGATATATATGTATGTATTAATATATAATATGTATCATCAACCTTGATGGATCAGAAAAAAAAGTATCAAATTACATAAGCATAAGCAAACTTAACCAAGCAACAAAAGTAAATTATTTTTAATTTTTTTTAGAATTTACTAATTTTTTTACTAAAAAAAAAAAAAAACTAGAAATACTAACTTCAGCAAGAAGGACGAATAGCTGAGTATGATCAGGTGTTAAGCCATCATACATATATTTGAATACACATTTTGCCCACTGGAAACGATCACGTGGAAAACAACGTTCGGAGTATTTGTACATCATCTAAAATTGAACTTGGAAAGAAAAGAACTAAATCAAAATAAAATTAAAACAAACTGTGAAAAGCAAAAAAAAAAAAAACAGAAAAAGTAATAGTAAACAAAACGTTGAAAAGAATGATTGATAAATAAGCTTAGTATAGCTTTTAATACAGAATATAGATTTATTGGATGAGAACATACAGATGATAAATGGGAAAGTGGATTATCAACTGATTGCTCTTCTGTTTCTGTTATCCGTTCCGAAAGAAACTGAAATGAAATGTTACCTATTTTGTGGAAATGTACGATTTAAAACAACAAAATGCTTTTCTTCACAATAAACAAATTTGTTTGATAATAAACAGTGAACTGACATAATTCATTCGTAATCTATTATGCAATTATTAAAAATTAATTTGAATGAAAAAGTTGAAATTTGCACAATCATGAATTTATTTTTCATGATTACTAAATTCCCAACAAGAAATTACCTAGCTGAATCCTTAGATTATAATTGAAATGTAATTAACTCTCACAGTTCTTCAGTACAGCATAAAATAAAGACTTTTACACTATGATAGCATAATGAATTTTATAATTTTCATTTAAAATCTGACTTACCTCAGTTAACTTCCTGGTAATCAATAAGCAAAGTGGTGTAGGTGTTTCAAAATTAAGCAAAAGTAATGGCATAGATGAAGTAATCAGTAAAGGTATCAGACTGCATGGTCCCATTGCTGGTTCATCTATTACTTCCAGACATTTCAGTAGCAATGATAGAGATAATTCGTAACCTGATTGTATCGTTGCACCTAGAAATTCCATAATGAATAAAAGTAAATTACATATAACAAAAAATTTAACATTATTGTAACTATTAAGTCAAGAAATCTTTCTCAAAATTTAGATCTTAATTCAAATATAAGACGATAAAAGGTGATAAACTGATAATCTGATTTAGAATACTATTAAAACGTATAAAATAATGCGTGGATATTCAGCTTTTTTTTCTTTTTTTTTTGATTTTTTCCTTGCTTATAGTATTTTATTACCTTATATTAAGGTTACGAAAAATGAAGAAAAAATGTGTAATTTTTGATTTCAATACCAAAGTTACAAATTAAAAAGATCTGGTAATTTTCCAAAAATAGTAAAAGTAAGAATTTTTCAAAAATTATTTATAGATAAATTCACCTTTTACGATTAAGCCAGCAATACCACTATAATTTTTCCAGTCTAACTGTGAAACTGTTTTTGACAGACGTTGCAAGCATAATGCCTTATCTGAAGCTGCTGTATCGAACACCTGCAAGAAAAAAGAAAAATTTTTCAGTGAATACTTTGAAATGCATCTTTCATAATAAACGAACTAGTTATTTCTTTTTTAAACAAAATAAGAAAAATCATTTAGAAAAGTTGATTAATTTACAACTTAAATTTATTCTTATCAACGGATTTTCTTATTAATAATACTATTCAAGTATTAATGACCTAGTAACAACACTGAATGCAAAAAAAAAAGTAATGCGGTTAGTCACTAGTTAACATTTAATAGCATCATTAATGAAACAAAGGAGTGATAATACTGATAATTTGCTAATCAACTAGTTGAAAAATTGAATTTGAAACTACAATAATAAAGACATTTCATAGACGACTAAATTAGTGAGCATAAACTTCAAACCCATACCAATAACATATCAGGTGAGAGATTGTTTCTGAAACAATCATAGCTTACAAGAAAACACATCTGTTTTCTTGTAAGGCAAGAACTATGAACTAGATAATAAACTCGGCACTTTTTTATAAGCAAATCATATTTGTGATATTAGTTTATGACCAACAAAATTTGAAGGTATGTCACATTATCCAAAATTCTACTCCTAAATGATAGCATAAATTAATAAGATTAACCTTATCCAATAAATGCAATGCAAGAAGATATTCGTTATCAAAATTTGATTCAAGCATCGCAACAGCAATTAAGAATAACTGACAAAGTGTTGAGAAATTTTCTTCTCCAGCACCAACATCCATAGTTTTCAAAGCTGTTGCACTTTTACTTCGACTTAAACCTGTCGGCACTTCACGGTCATTGGTTACCAAAACTGAATGTCGCATATCTGAAAAATAAGCTCATGTCATAACAAATCATATGAAACCAATAAATTAAAAAATCTTATCTTTTGTCGCTAAAAAAAAGGCAAAAACTCACAATAATTTCGGCAAAACAGCCTCAAACTCAACAAAACATGCCGAATTAATAAAATTCATTAGGGAAATCCTCAGAACTAACAATAATTGAACAATTATGAGATATAATAGAGTGTATTTTTTCTTTTAGCAATTTTATGAATTAAAATAAAAGGATCTAGTAGAAAAGTTAGTATATTTAAATTGTCAAAAATTCACTCAACTGTTAGCTGCTAGTAAAAGAAAAATTTTCGTATAAAAAGAATTTTTTTAAAAAAGATTTTAAAGAAAGAAAAAAAAAATCAAAAGATGTTTATAGAATTCAAATGAATGCTATTAGATCTTACTATAAATTAAATTAAATTAAAAAAAGAAAACCTTTTCGTTCACGAGTTGGTGATAACACAGTTGAAAGAGCTGCATTTGAAATTTGATGCAGTACAGCTGGTGTATAGGATGTAGAACGTGTATGAGTAGGACATTGGACAATATTTGGTGCATGAGGTATTAAAATTAAATGAGAGACAGCTATTTGAAGACAAAGCATTATATCTGTTATATAGGATTGTGTCTCTTCATGTGGCTCACCAATTGTTTCTGCTAAACGTGACAAAATATTCGGAATCCATGATGATAATGACTGAAATTATTAAATTAAATTGAATATAAATTTTAAAATTTAAAAAAAAATATTTTAATTCAAATTTTTTATTACATATATATATATATGTATATATATATATATATATATATATATATATATATATATATATATATATATATATTATATGGACAAACCTGACAAAGAGCAGAATTAATCTGGAAACAACGACCAGCAATATGACGATTTGAAGTTGATAATGCCATTCCCATTGATAGCTGTGACCAACGTAATGCTAAATTTGGAATTGCTTCAATCAGTAGTTCAGCTAGATGACGTACCATACATTCGAGCTGTGCTGCACTTTCAATTCGCCATTGTCGTGGTGTCACATCTTCGTTAGCCCAAAGAGGTTTATCCATTCTAAATGATATCAATAACTATGCAAGTAAATGAATTCGAAAATTTGACAATAATGAATTTAAAATTATAAAAATAAGCTTTAAGGAAAATACTGGTGCATCAAAATTTGAATTAGTTCATTAAATTAAGTATACTTAAAAAAAAACGACGTTTTAAGCGCTTTTCATCTTTTTTCAGTCAAACTCTTAATAATGAATCTTTTGCTCGATACTGTACATATTGTTTTAAATAAAAAATAATTTTTTCAGTGCCCTAGATTGCACATTTATTAGTAAGAATAAGAAGTATCACTTCATGCCAACCTATCTATTTCTCATTAATAATCACAATATTCAGAAAAGATGATCCATTTTTAGTATGATTAGTATTATTACCATAGAATTTTTAATATCATAATTTTTTTTTCTTTTAAAATACTTGCAAAAACATATATAAATTAAAATATAACTAACTTATCAGATAAGCAACATATGAATGCTTGAATTAGATCGGATGTTGTACTAAATAAACCATTATTGCCTAGCAGCATTTGTTGGTATTCATTACATTTCATTTTTGAAAAAGTAGGTGTTTCACCACGTGCAACACTATCAGTACGACTATCATCAGCACTCGATGTGATACTTGCTTGATCGCCCCAATTTATCTAAAACCAAATTTCATAAAACAAAGAAAACAATTTTTTCATAAAGCTAAGAAAACAAGGTAACATGATCAGTAGTAACATAACATAATGAATTAGAGAGATACAAAAATGATGATTGTGATCACATTGCTTTATTGAATAATACTTTATCGAATTGTTTGATTTTTTTAATTTCTTAGCTGTTCAATAAATTATCTTAAGTTTACAGCTCTTTGGGTGATCGCTCATGTTACATGAATTTTTAATTATAAACAAAACCAAAATGCTCAATTAATTCACTAGCAATTTCTCACATTGAATTTTAGACAAATTTTAGAAAATTAACTTCATTCTCAAAAATTTTTAAACGATAAATATTACTGGATTTTGTAATTATAAGATACAAACCTGATTAGTAAGTAAAATATTCGATAGCTGTGAAGCAGAAACGATTTCACCAGATTGCAATAAAATAATATTAATGATAAGTTGTCGTGAATGATGACATATCAGTGGTCGTAATGAATCCAGTCCTAGGACAGCAATATGTAACAACAATGGTATATGATCACACCATTCTTCTGATGAAGAGCATCGCAATAAATCTGTTACATGAAGTAATGCCACACTACTTCTGGAAATTAGGATGAAATTATCAGATAATTTCAATTAATTTCGATTAACATATTTTGATCATCAAACAATGTATTAATTGGTTTAATAAAAATTACTTGCTAAATATATATATACTGCTGGAGAATGTAAGGAGAAATGAAAAAAAAAAAATTCAAGCGGACAAAACTAATTGTCAATTTCAAAATGCAACAAAAATATCAACAACATAAAAAAAAAAAAAAAACTTTACTTTGTAAATAACAATACTGGTTGAGTAGTGGCTGGCAAAAAAGACGACAGCTTTGAGTAATGTCCTCCATAAGCTGGCATTGGTAAATCATGAATAATACTAACAGTGTCTTCATCTGATGCGTTGATCTGAAATGAAAATTAAATGTATAAAATCTAAAAAAAAACAGAAATTAAAAAATCATTATAAGATTTGTTCTGTTAATCAGCTTTGAGGAAAAAATCGGGATTAGTTTGATCTTCAAGGAAAAAAAAAACTAAATAAGTTATAAATCGTAAGGAACAGCAAAGCCGATTTATACACTCAAGAAAAATGTTGAAATTTTCACTAAATTAATATTCCGACAAAAGTTCTATTAGAATTTAAAAGCAAATTCATAAATGTATTTTAAAATGTAAAAATATGAAATGAAAACCTTCAATGGACTAGTTGAATCCACTTCTGCAGTACAAGAAGTAGTTTCTTTCATTTTTGCTACTGCATGCTTTTCATGTGCTGTTTCCAAAGTATTTTGAAAACGATAAAATGGTGGCATTTCACATCGTTCCAAATTTGCTTTGAATTGCTCATTTATACAATCCATGTCGTTCATTAAAATTTTGAGCAAATTATGCGCATTTGAATCCATTAACAAGCAGCATACACGTTTTGTCTAAAGATATTTGAAATTAATTGAAGTAAATTGAATTAAATAACTTTTATTTCTTACTCATCACTTATTATTTCTTCAATGAAACGATCAATTATGCAGCAAAAATTATTGTATAACATCATTTCATTTTTTCTAATTCATAATTTTAATATTATTTTCAAAAAATCCAAAAAGTTGTAGCACTTAACTATTATATGCTTTTTTGGTTACAAAATAGCAAAAATTTAATAAAAACATACGTATGGCAATAATATATCAGGAGATAAGGAAGCCATCACAAATAGGTAATTTATAATTATTGATAAATTTGCTGGATGTGATATAGCTAATGTATTCCATAGCAATGAAATTTCTTTCACATGCTTATCAGATAATGTTGCTGTTAAATAAAGAAGATTGTTAAGGATCAGTTGAGTTGCTTCAGTTGAACCCCATCCTGGTTTTACTCCATTACTTTCATCTGTGGCATTCTCTTCCTAAAAGTAATCATTCTTATACAACTTATCACTTTATATCAGTTGTTTATTATTTTACTATAAGGATAAACTTCAGCTATGTTTACTTACGGATAACATAGATATCAATCAACAATAATAAAAAAAAAAAGAATGAATTAATATAACTTACTTGAGGATCTACAAGTTGAACATTTTCCAACCATGCGGAAAGCAGCGATAATATAGCAGTCTTTCTGTTGCACTTAGCATTTTCAACACGAGAACAAACTTCTAAAATACTTTATTCTCAAAAAATTTTTAGAAATAATCCATTTAAATTTGTACTTTTCAGAAGTAAATCGTAAAGCAGAATAAACTGTCAAAAACTTTGGTATCATAATAAGTTATATTAATTTACTTTGTACCACATTTCAATACATCGAAGAGAATAACAACAATTAAACTCAAACTGTTTCGTTAAATCAATATATCGATCAAGAGTTTAGATAATTCAAAAGCTATTATTTCAGAAATTGTTAGCTTACTTACAGTTGAATAACTACAATTGATAATAATTTATTTTTAGAAAAACTGTTGCTTGCTGATGAAGTAAGTTTTATTCATGTTTATTTGATATGAGTACTAATGCACACGGTTATTTTCGCATTCAATATCATTTTTGAATTTATTAAATTTCTAATTCTACTTCATTTTAATATTATCTATTTTTCTATTGCTCTCTGATCAAATTGTTAAGTATTTCTTAATAAACTAATTAAATTGATTTTTAATGCTTAAAATTTAAAACACCTTAAAAAGAAAATACCTGAAAAAACGGACATCGTTATTTTGGGATATGTTTTTGCTAGCAAACGACAAACTTCAATTTGATTCGATGAAAAATTATGCAAATTTGTTAGATTTGGTATGGTCAATGAATCATCCAGAAACTGTCGTCGCAAAAGATGAAGAAGCTGTACTGCTAGTTCAGAAACACGTGTATCACTATCGCCTGCTAACATTTGACAGAGAACAAATAATGAATCGAACTCACAAGGATATTCTCTAAAAATAAACAGCGTTCCTTTTTTATTGAAACAAGAAAAAAACTTATGTGAAGAGGAGAAATTCTGCTCCATTACCATTGCCAAATTTATTACCAATTTTTTTTTTTTTTCTATAATCTTAAATATCTTTTCTAATTTGAACCATAAATTCAATAAAATGCAATTTAAGTCAAAGAATGCCGATTTCACTCAGTGTTAAAAGCAAATTAGTAATAAATCTACTTTATTCTATACTTTAATTTCGTACTTTATTCTAACTTACCTTCGTGAGAAAAGCATAACCAATGAACGAAAGCTTTTTGCTGCAACATAAGCAGGTTTAGAATAACAAACGTTAATTGTCCATTCGAGAAGCTGCGATGTTTCGTCATTTAAATCAAGCATTATACTCAACGTAGATTCAAATAGTTTTTCAAGCTGCAATTAACCAATTCTTCTCTTTTTCTTCTTTCCAATATCAATAATTTAAAGTATGAAAATAAGAGTGAACTATTATTACCTATACTGTTATATAAATCAATCTAGACCATAGACATAAATAGAATCTATTAATTCATATTTATATATCTACGATTAATTGATGCAATCAACAAATAACAAAAATTTTTCCTCCTCAAAGGCAACCAATTTATAATTAAAAAAAAAAAGAATTTGTTTATTTCATTCATGTATCATGCAATACTTCATATGTCAACAATATAAACAATATAAGTTGACGAAAAGTAGCAATTTACAAAAAACTTACACTAAAAATGAATTTGATCTTAAATTCTTAAAAAATATTGAATTTCATTCCATAGGAAAGTTTTAATATAACATAAATTTTTATAATTTTTCCCTTAATGATAAATCTTACCACCGGATTACTGGAATCAAGCAAAGCTTCCAGCCATCCATATAAATAACCATCTTCTCCAATAGATTTAATCGGTTCAAATATTGGCCCGCAACATAATAAAGCACACATTGCTTCAACAGCTCTTTGCTCTACGTATGTTCCAACGTTACCATCGTGTCTGAATATAAAAGCATTGCAATAATTGAGGAACAAATTCCCTCCAGTGCACAATTTTTCAATCCATTCTAATTTTTGAATTTCAAAACTAACCTTTTATCGGATGCAATACTTCTACTACACCATGAAGTAAATAAGAAAAATAAATTCTGTTTCAAATTATTTCCCAACAAATTTCGCCTTTTTTCTGCTGCAAAATAAATTGCTTTATATCATTTTATATTTTTTACAAACAAACTTATTATCTTATATTTTCACAAACAAATGCTATTAAACATAAAACTATAATAAGTAAAAAAGGAACAGATAAGAAAAATAAATCTTAAAACAATGTAACGTCTGATACGTTTCATATTGCATTCGCAGTTATGCTCAATCCAAAACGATTTCAATAGATTGAAAAATGGAAAAATGTATTAATTAATGGGAAAAAAAAAACATATATTAATAGTAATCGATGGAAAAAAAAATAAATATTAATTAGACGAACTACTTAATTATATAGTGCCATTCACTACATATTTAATTTCTAATGAGATAAATAAACATACGTGTAATACTGTTAATAATCATTGCCATTGTTTTTGCAAAATGCAGTCGCAAATTCGTTAATAATAACATATCACGATCCTAAAAATATTACAAAAAAAAAATAAAATAAAAGCTAATCTTAATACAGTACATGTAAAATGTTTAACAACAACGCATTTTTAATAATGATAACTCACCCAGTTTGTTAATGTTGCTACCATCGCTTGAATCATTCTTACTTATATATATTTTCTTTTCATGCTCATAAAGTAATAATATTGTTACAAAAGGTAAACCTGATCAGATTCTAAATTCTGCCGCATTGAATCCAAGAAATCGACAAGAACAGAACAAAGTCCGCTTTCAACATCAATGCAACCAGAACATTGCAGTACACCCCGAAATGTTGCAACCTAAAAAAAAAAAAAAAGTTTCTTTTTTTGTTAGGACTTCAACATATGAGTACGAGAGTGAATGATTCATCCATGGCCTTTTCTGGTTAACTTTTAGTTCTAATCCAAGCATCATTTTTAAATCTGAAGCAAAAAAATTTTTAATGTTTTAAACTTATAATACAATGTAATGAAATGTAAAAAAAAAAAAAAAAAAAATGCCTAATCGTAGAAAGTCATATTATGCTCCTGTACTTATATTTATGGTTCATCTTTGACTTTGATAATAGCTCCTCAATCATTATATTTTCTGACCTAGCCTTTCCACAGGATACTCATACTTTAGATCTCATAGTTTTCAAATGTACTCCATTTCTAATCAAATGAAAATAAAATACTCTAATTTTAAATATACATCCTTTTCTTTCTTTTTTGTTTCTTTGAAATTTATTGTACTAATAAGCAGAAAACTAATAAAACAATATGAAAAAAAAAATCAAATGTTTATCGTAACAAAGTAGTAGGTTAGTCATTGCAGAAAAAAACTAACTTGAAGTATACGGATTATTTGCAGTCGCAACAAGTCCTTCCGTTTCTTCCTTCGAGCATTATTATCGTTCTTTCGATCCATTACTTCTCTCAGAAGTCCTTTCATCTCATCAAGAAGCGCTCTGTAAATCAATGACTTAGGTTAAAAAAAAACTGGAAAATATTTCATCTCTTGCAGATGAATATGTCATGATATCATTTTTTGATTTTTTTTTTGCTGCAAAAATCTAGACTGGCGGTTATAGCATTTAATTATAAAAATTATAAGCAAAATTTCTGCATCACAAATTTAATGCTTAATGTTTATTAATGCTTAAAATACTAACTCAAATGAAAGAGGATTTGTTGATCCAATACCCAAAACGACACTATCACGCATATCAGTCATATGATCCCAACGTAACATAGTTACAACTTTTTGGAAGAATGTAGCATTCACAGCAGCGGATGGTCGTGGAACACGAACGGATGATGCCAAAGAACGAAATACATCATTGTCTATCCTAAACGATAAATATTAAACCAAAATAATCTAAAAATATACTTCATATCTGGTCTAGAAGCAAAGAATCAAGAATTCTATGAAATATGGTTTGAATTCCACAAAAAAAAAAAAATATTTAAATTTCAAGAACTTTAATGATATTAATAAAAATTGCGTCAATACTAAAAAATCAATTCAAAACAACGAAAAAAAAAAGAAAAAGAAATTTCATGCATATTTCGAGTGGAGTATTCATATATAGCATAGTATATCATTATACTTCTCATTGTCAAATAATTTTGCAAACGTTAGGATTACTAGTATTATAATTCAATTTGAATTTATATACATATTGATCACAAAATATTTCTTTTCCCTCTTGTTTGCAAAAAATTTTATTAAAATAAACTGACGATGAAGTAGGTGAAAATCCTCGACTATGTGTAGCTGTATAATCAGTATGTGGTGGTGCTAATGCACAAGCCATTACAAGATACTTCTGCCATAATGATAAATAGCTATCTTGACCAAGTGATTCACCACATAATGGTGAAGCTGTTGCTTTGCTTTTTGATGACCGCAACAGAGATGCTCGATTTTCATTTTGTGGATTACTGCAAAGTGGATTACTATCAATAAATCTGAATTAATAAATCTAAACATATCTCACATTTTTAATAAATATGAATGAATTTACACTGAACTTGTCTCACGTACGATTGATTTATGTTGTTTTGATATACAAGAAAATAGAGGCTTATTATGGCACTGCTATACATAACAATGCGGTAAGTGAATGAATAGATCAAACATACGTGGTATATATAACTTGAGCATTTGTCAAATTATTGTCACTTAGTTGAGTACTTCACGTTTTAGCTGTTTTTGAAATGCACTTTAGTGAAGTTTATTATATATATAATTCTTCAAATCTCTCTTCTAATCAACATTCATTTCCCCCAAAAAATTATTAGCAAACTAACATGAAGGTGACAACTTGAAAAAAAATGCATATAAACAAGTAAATATAAATATAAAAGTATATATATTTGAAAATACTTTTATGCTTAAATATACAAAGTATATATTTATCTTTAAAACAAAACGTACTTGGGATCCACAAAACTACTGCATGCACTTAAACGAGCCTGTACCACAGGCCAAGCATGAAAAACTGCTGTTGGACATTGCGTTAAGAGAAAACGATGTTCGCAATAACCAGAAAGTGCAGAAGCCCATGGATCCCATCGAAAATATTCATTACCTCTATCACTATTCACCTGTAATAATCTACAATTAGCATTAAAATTAAGACTTAAATCACTAAATATGATCATTTGTGATACAAATCGGATATTTTGCCAATTTATCTTCCATATCTAATCAGTAACTTGAATATGTGTAGAAATATGGACCGAAAGTTTTAAATAAATTATAAACAAGTCACAGTGATGAAAAATTGGTCAACCAAGATAAAACAACTCAAAACATTAAATTGAATGAGAAGATGACTAATAATTCGCGTTTTTTTTTCGTCACATGATTAACATATATATTAATGTACTATTCCTATAATTATAATTTTCCAACTAATTACTACATCAGCATAAAAAATTAGCCTACCAAACAGCTATCAGTTTCAATTGATGCAATTTTATCCGAAGCCGATGAAAAGTCATGATTCCATGATTGCTGCAAATAAAAATATAAACTTGAAATCAGTTAATTCTTATCTTCGAAATAAAAAAAAAAAAAAGAAAATACTGACTTAATTAAAAAGAAAACTTTACCCTTTCATATAGCGGAACATGCTCGATGTATTTATTAATCACATAAGATGTTGCACTATCCAATACTTCAATTACAGGTGTATCATGTTGTTGTGATGCTACAAGTGTTAGTAAATGTCGTACCTAAATATTTGCAATAAATACATGTTTACAACAGATTTTACTTCTTATATAAAAACTGCTATCACAAAATCTTTTGAACTTTGAATAACCTCTTTCAAAATATTTATCGAAATTTTTCTGGACTGTGTCCTATACTGACACATCATTGCAAGTGCAAAACCTTCTACTGCATGCAATGCGATAGCAATCGAATTTGTTAGCATCGGAGAAATCTGCATTCTGAAATGGCAAACAGTTCTTGCAATTTTTAAATTCAAATAATCTATTGTATAATTCATAATTTTATTTCAAATGTATCATGCATTATATTCTATGTATCTTCAAATAATGATAACACACTTCTCTAATCAATAATGTTATAAATTCTAATATCTAAAATTTTCATACAATTCCTCCAAAAGTAATTTAAATAGTTATACCTCAGAGGATTGATAAAACCGCTATCTCGCTCGGAGCTACCACTCATTTCACGTTTCTTTTCCATATATGCAGCTGTTTTCCACGTAAATAATAACTGATGTAGAAGTCGTAATAATGAATCAAGTAGAAGCGGATATGTGTCCTATAAAAACATCACTAAATTTTGTAAAAATTAATTGTTGGAGTAGGAAAATTAATTGCATTCTAAAAAGATCTAAATTCCGGAAAAATTAAAGATTTCTTTATGCATAACAATGAGCTCAAATTTATTTCATAGCTATAAATTATCGAAGTAGAATAAACATTAGAAGTTTCGACCTTCCCGAATTCCATATTTCCTATAGAGAAAGTATTCAAACAATAAACTATAGGATTTGGAATAATAAGAATTAAGAAGAAGAACAGGGAAATAAGAGTCAGCGTATAAAAGAACATAAATTTCTTTTCTTAATTCTTAAGCAGTATTCGACAATGAATAAAAATTAAGAGAGTCTTACAGAAAATTGAGTTGTCATATAATTAAGAAAGGAATGAACAATATCTTCACGCCATTCCGCACATTCACTCATAAGTGCCTGCAACGTTTGTGCTGCATGTACTCGCAATTCTTCGTCGATATGCACATTCATTCGTACTAACAATTCGACAAGCTCCTTTAAAAAAATCAAAACTCAAAGAAAGAAAAAGATGAAACTAGAAATACAAACAAACCCGCTCTATTTTTGAGAATAAATATATCTGAAGGTAACAAGGAGGATTATATTTGAACTATAATAAGTTCAAAAACGAACAGACTTTGCGTACTTTCTTTCGTTCTTCCAAAAAATTCGATTAGGGAAAACATACCGAATGACTCATTGATTCAGGAAGAAGGCGAGGAATTGCTGCAATACACGTACGATATAGATCCAACTTAGGTCTCACGTCACCACTGAAATCTAACGTCATTTCAGATATATCACAGCAATGCTATATCACACAACAAATAATTATATCACACCTAGTTCCAAAAGTCCAAAACTCAATCAATGTCTCAACTCACGTTAACAGCTCTTCCGGTTCTTTCCCTCGCGTATGTGCGGCAGTCATCATTAACGGCTTCCCAACCTATAACAAAATTTATACTTTTGCAAATTATCATGAAACATAAGCAACTAATGAATGGAATCTTTAGTTCGTAATTTCTATCCCACTTCTATTTTAAATCAAAACTACTTAATAGTAGTAAGATAATAAGGCTTAAGTAACTGATTAGACATCAGTACATATCATGTTCATTCTACGAAGCAAGTAGATTTGAATGTATTCTCGACAAATGAATACTATTGTATGATTCGAATAAAATAAGAATAAGGTAATATACCTGTGAATCCAACGATCGTAGAATCGAATCAAAAGCTCGTCTACATGGTGCATAGTATAGCTCAATGCCTATTGAACGAGCAATTTCTGCTGTAAGAGGGCGAGAAATGTATGTTTTCTTCAACCTTTGGGAAGAACTTAAAGCTGAAATATGGTATAAATTAGCTAAATTGAAAAAGTAAAGCAAAGTGAAGTACTATTCATTACTAGTAGTGTTTTCTTACTCATTGAACGTGGCATATCAGGTGGTCCTTCTTTCTGTTGCAAACTATTTGCTATGACCATTAAGGCTCGTATTCCGATATTCATACGTTCCGGATAGATTGAACTCTTCAGTACACTGTGCGCCCTATTGCAACCCAACAAATCAAATATGATTTCCTAAAAAATTAAGATTAGGGAATAATCTAATTATAATTCTTCCTCCTTTAACGAAGCTGATGATAGTTATATTTAATGATATTATAATTGCAAAACAGGCTGAAAAAAAAAACAAAATTTATGCCCAGTCAAAATTACTGCATATGTAAGCTACACGTAAAGTATTAAGATTCCAATAAAAGACAATGCATGTAGATTAAAATTAGGAAACTGCAAGCTTATTATTTAACATACCCTGAAAGCAAAATCAAGCTTTTGCTGTGCTATAAAATGAATAATTTTAACGAAAATATTCAGCGGTGCATCACGTGGTACAATAGCTCGGTTTCCTTTCGGAAATAACGAATTACAAATTGATTCCAGTCTATTTCGCGTGGTCGTATTACCCTCACAATTATTTCGTATCACATATACCCTATAAAATAAATCACTTCAAAAAAAAAAAACTGACTACTCATTCAAATTTCATTTCCAAGACATAGCATAAGCCAGCACTGAAAATTATTAATCCTACTCACTGCAGAAAAAAAAAAAAAAAAAAAAAAATAAAACAAAAATAACGTACCAGAGAAGCCGATATAACGATTCCAGTGCAACTCTCGAAACTTTTGGATCTTTATTTTTCAGGCTAGCTAATGTAGAATTAAGAAATTGTGCCCAATTCATCAAGAAAAATTTACTCTGACTAATACAAAGTAAGCATGTCAGCAACGGATATGCTGCCTAAAATACAATTATCATCTTTTGCAAAGATACTCCATTTAAAAGGTGAACGAATAGTTATGATAAAAAGAACAGCGTAAATATGCAAAGATCTGAAGAGAAATAAGTCTTTAACAATAAAAGACAAATTATATTTAACAAAAATCCTAAAAAGAATACAGCTATTCTTACCATTTTGTCGCGTTTCTTATTAACCAATTCAAATGTAGGCGCATAAAGTTTATCAACAAATGATATTACTGCGGGTATATTCGCTTCTGTTTTGATTTGCTGAAAATTTTGAAGCGTTCAAATTTTTATACATTATCGAGGAAACTGCTAAAAACAAAGTTTTTGATTGTCTCTTAGCACCTTTAACTTGGAATCTGAATTTTAGTGTAAATTACCTGTGATATGTCCAATACAACTTAATGATCTTTTGTTATCCTCTTATCTAATTTAATACACATAGTGAATTGACAAAATGGAACTATTTTTCAAATAAATAAAAAATATCTAAGTGAAAAAAACTTTTCTTTAGTGTGTTCAGTCTAAATTTCCAGGTAACGGAAGCTATCAGAACTAATAAACTAAAAAACTTATTGTAATTTAAAAAACAAAGAAAGAAAAAAAAGAAAAAAAAAAAAACAAACTGCTGCAACTGGAAGAAGAATCTCAACCAGTAATCCAGCGATTGCATGCTTGATATCTTTTTGTTTTACATCCAAATAATACTGTCCAAGTTCATCTAAGAAACGTACACCAATTTCAAATTCAATGATGTCATTGGTCTAAAAAGAAATGAAAAAGAATTATATAGTGAAATTATCAAAATTTAACTACCTCATATTTAATTTGAAAGTTTAATAACACATACTAACTTTTTACTTTTAAAATGGAAAATTAAATTAAAAATCACTCTACCTTTATTCTGTAAAATTTCATAGCCATCAGCAAAGCGATTATGCAATTCATACCAAATGGAGTCATTGGATTCTCTTTTCGCAGTTCATCTAATGTACTAAGAAATGTACGCTGTATTAGAACAGCATGCGTTTGTGATAAAACACCAAGGACTTCAGCATAACGTTCGGCTACCAGCAAATAATTGTTATAATTTGAACCATACGTTGCACTGAAAAATTAAATCTATAAACCAAAATGAAATCATACTAACAATAAATAAATCTATTCAAAATCATCAAACATTACAAGTACTTAATTCAAATTCTAATATGAAGATAATGAAGTAAATAATAAAAAAAAATGTAAATCGAAAATAGCATCCGATATATACATTATCTTAATAACCTGAATTTTTCAATTATTTACTTGCTATTTCAATATTATTAACTTATTACAGTAATGTTGTTATTATCATTAGCTTATCTAGAAGTTATGCATTTACTTAATTTATATAAATTCCTTTGAGTTATTTTTTAAATTTAGTTTCCACTAGTTTAAGCACAGAGATACTTCATAAAAACATACATATCACGATATGCAACTTCGTCAAATGCCAAAGCCACAATGTATGAGACGGAATTATCGCAGATGGTAGGGAAAAAGTGTAACTGTGGTAAAACTTCAATTAATACGATGCAGAAGAGATAATTGATTGCTAAACGCTGTTCATCTGATTTTGCGGTTTTTTCACTGTAATTTGAAGCATTCAAAAAAAAAAAGTGATCAGCATAACGAAATGACAGAATCAAATAATTTAAGTACTGGTTGCTTTCCATTATATAAAAAAATCACTATTAACTGTATTTAAAGAAGGATAATACAACTCAAAGTATTGATTTCTAAATTAAGCAGTTAATGCGACAAACAAAACATAAATTTGTCACTTAAATTATAAATCAAAAAATATATAATAAGATCAAAGACAAATATTAAAGCTGTTCCAATGAAAAACTTATACAAATGAAAGTGTTACATTAGAATATACCATAAAACAACTTATACCTCAATTCTTTGAAACGGTCCAACTGTTTTTCATACCAACTGACTAATGTTGCCAGAACAGAAGGTAAGCAATGTTCACAAAGCGTATTCAAGACTCGTAGAAGATTTTCTACGTATGTATCTTCTCCAATTTGAAGTGCTTTATTAATGTTACGTTCCTATAATAAATAAAAATGTAAACAGAAAAATATTCACAGAAAAGATTCATCGTAAATTTAAAGGAAAACAAACAACAGATTCATTATCACCATAATTTTTGATTTATATATTCCGTAAAATGATTGAATTTTTTCAGTAAATTAAAGAAAATGAAAAAAAAAAAAAATACGTGAGGAAAATTGTGAAACGAAAAAATGTAAACAAAAATTCATCATGATAAAAATAAAACCATTTTGATCTACCCCAGAAGGTAAATGCCACTGGTAGAAATGAAGCAACATAACGTTATGAAAAATATGGTCAGGAATCTAAGTAGAATCTCATGAAATGAAGAGTAATCTAAAAGGTATAATATTATGAATGAAGAAGCAACAACTTTGTCCAACTAGTTTTAAAGTAATTAGTTAAAAAAAAAAAAAAAAAACATTGCAACGAGCAGCTTACACTTACGATATCGCCATCTTCGATAGATTGAATTCGACGATCGAAAACAATGAATAATTCTTGCAATAATGACTTGACAGCGAAATGACCTGGTGGAGATGCAAAATCAACGCCAGTTGTAGTGACAACTTTTAACGAACCCCATGGTAATTCAGCTGCTACAACCCTAAAAAAAATAAAACTGTTTAATTCTAAAATTTCAATTAGTACTAAACTATGAAATTTTAAGATGTATTGTGAAAATTCTTATATAACCATTAAAAAAATGTGCTATCACCAAATAGCATTTTCAAGGTTAATATCAATTACGAAGGGATGAGAGTGAAAAATTGAGTAAACCGACAAGACTAATGATTAATACAGAATATGTTAAGTAGTACAAACAGTTGTGCTATTTTAGAAATGTATACATTTCTGTGAATGTGTTTGGAGTGTGTATATGAAAATAGCGAATACGATGGAGAAGGAAGAAAAAAAAAATTATCAGTAATAGAAGATATATGATACAAAATATTCTACAATGTTACATAAAAACATGAAGAAATATTCTTACAAAATAAGAGAGATAAAAAAGAAATAATGAATTGAAATGAATGCTGCGGTCCTACTTTACTTTTTTTGCATCTTCTTTGCGAAATATTATATGGAAAACTGAAGTGATTTCCAAAAACTTTAATAGCAGCATCCATTAAAAAGAATGATGGATGAAATATTGTACTTAATTAACTCTTCAATTATAAGTCGTAAATTTCAAGACTTCTAACTGCATCATCGTCAATTTTGGTATCTAGAACAAACAAAAGACAGATAAGCAAAATTTTGTCCAATAATATCTAATAATAATAAGAAAGATAAAATAAATGATTACGCATCAAGTGTGCCAATATGGCTCGAAGTTGGATCACTACGACGTCGTAAAAGAGTTTTCTTCACCGTGTCCTTGTCTTCCTTCATTATTATCTAAATATCAACCGATCGTTCCAATAAGACGTGTAAATACCGCTTCATCGATAAAGCACAAAAAATTTCCATCATCTACAAATTACCCAATTAATTATCAGTGAAATAAAAATGCATCGAAAAATTATGTTACGTATAAAATATAATAATGAAATACACCAAGCATACTTCAATGTCAACCATACATATTACTACAATAAATTTTCATTTGAAACATAAATTTTCAACATTCATACTTATATTCCATTAATTAAATTTTTAAGAACAAAAAAGCTCGGACAATATCTATGAATTTTTACATAGGTCTCAATGTTACTTACCATCAATTTTATTATACTAGTAAAGTCTTAATGCATATAAAAAAAAGAGGACTCAACAATTAAAGTAATTTTAGTCAATGAAAACTAGTTAAAGCCTACCTCTTTGCTTTGCTATTTAATGTTTATTAATTTTCTATTATCATTCATTCAATCATTTCAAACACATCTCTATTTTTTCTTCTTTCTAAAAAATTGCTCAGAATGCTGCTGCAAAACTTCAAATAAATATTTTTTAAATAAAAAAAAAAAGAAGGATTTTCTAAATTTATTGCTAATATCATAAAAATTAAACGAATTTATTCATTTCCAAAAATGAAAATAATTAACTATGAGACAACATCTTTACATAAAGAACATCGTTTAGGCCGTCAAATATTCATTGCTCGTTTATTTTGGTTTTTATGATTTTTGATTTCTTGACATCATAACTTGATAAAATGGATTGGCAGTAAACATTAAGGTTAATTGAATTTACGTTTACGAGAACATTTGCCGCTGCATATGACATTTTCCGCTTTTCGCTATTACATCAAATATTCTGTGGTGAGTGATATGAGTTTTGGTCTCAAATTATGAGCAAAATGCTTATAATAATTGTCATGTTATTTTCTTTTTTTTTTTTTGTTTTTCATGTATCCATAAATAAAAATTATCTCATTTATGATAGAATTATCATTTTTTGAATTGTTGAATTTTGATTATTTTGTAAGATTTTTTTAAATGAATTTTACAGATATCTATCAATATTTCTATGGCTGATCATGTTTATTTGCCTGCAAATTTTGTTTTTCAAATTTCTCCCTAATTCCAATATTTCATGGCGATTATTTATTTAGTTATGATTAGTTCAAAATGTTTATTATATAAGAAGTTTAGAACTTTCTATACCACTTAGTTGTCATTAATTCATATCTCTGTGAATTCAGTTTGCATTTCTCGGATCGTTCCTTACTTTTTTTTCCATTTCCCTTAATACTTCGCTTATCGTCCTGATTAACGATAAACATTACATTATTTTATCAAAAATGTACATCAGAAATGTACATCTTTTATTACTGAAATGTCCTCCCATTTTTTTCTTTTCAGGATGGAATTTAAGGATTATAATCATGCTTTAATTCACACCGTCCGTAATTCGCCATATTTGTATGATCCATCCAATAAACACTACAAAAAAGGACGGTCAAGGGTGGAATTATGGGAGGAAGTATCGAAGAAGCTTCAAGCGATGGGATATAAAACTACAGGTTATTATTATTGTTTAGTTGGCAGTAAGAATAGTTGCCTCTTTCATTCTAAAATAATTGAAATTAGGTAAGACTAAGGTTGAAACGTTTTTGATGATTATTTGTAAACGGATATATTTGTGTTTTTTGTTTTGCGAAAGTTAAAAAACTAAAGTTAGAAAGGATTCGTCATGTTGTCAGGAAATCACCAGTGATATAGCAGTAAAATTCAAATTTATGCTGTTCGGCATACTGGATAAAAAGCAGTTAATTGCAAGGTGCTGCAAACTTTAAAACTTAAATTCATGGCTTCTACATATTTGGTTTTTTTTGGGATCGTACAGGATGAAGCCAGTTATAATAAAGGAGATTATTGATCAGCTACTGCTACTGCAATTATTTCGATCTTTGTTGTCGATAAGTCAGCACTTGATTACTTGCCTTCTCTGTTATTGAATGTTTTTATCGAAGGTAAGAATCTTGTGGTAAGATAACGTTAGTAATCATAAATATTAAGAATGTTGCAGGTGAGAAATGTCGTGAACGCTGGAACTGCTTGAAGGGACGATTTGTGAGGGAGCGAAATACTTTAAAAAAGTTGAGATCAAATTCACTGCCTTATGTTCCAAAATTTTCATTCTATTCTGCAATGAAATTTGTGGAACCGTTTTTGCCTGATTCGCTTCAGTTAGTTTTTTTTTTTTCTTATTTCTTTCCTTCTTGTTAAATTTAAACTTTCTTTTGCCTTTATCGCTTATTCGACACGTGCATCTTTTATATTAAATAATGATTTTGTTTTATTTAATATCGCTATGCCTCGAGATGATCTTGGTGCTATATTGCCATAGGACATTCAATAGCAATGTCTTTTTTTACTGCTTTGAAAATATCTTCAATGCGTCATTGTATATGTGTAGTGACTTCGCATTAGGGTAGATTTGATTCATCAAAGTTGAATAACATACCTTTTTATCGCTTTTAAATCTTGCATGACGCTTACTGAACAATTTCATCATCGAAACCATTTGATATATTTTTGTTTTTAACTCTTTTTATGAAAAATTCGGATTTGGTTGTTCTACCAGGGCAGTTTTGAAAGACCTTTTTCAGAAAGCAGCCATGTGAATATAATCCATTAGATTTTCAAGCATCCGTGAAATACGAGACCAGCTCAAACAATAACATAGAAGAAAGTATTGACAAGTTAGTTTTGGATTTCCTTAACTGTATGCATAAAAATATCAGTCTACGTTTCGCATTGAACTTAAGTTTGTTATCTTTTCCTTTCAGACAGCTTCATCGATTATTGACACAAAATGGTACAACAGCAAATCACGATGCTATGAATGCAAACGAATTTGTTGATGGTTCACAAGAATCTCAACCATCAGCTGCAGTTGCAAGCAATAGCGTAACGGTACATGCATTGCAAAAAATACCATTGGTGGGTACGGATTGTGCTCAAATTTATCCTCTGAATGAATCTTCTTTTACAAATGATCCATTTGTGGTTGATTTGACAAATACAAAATGTTGGAATGACATTGATCAAGCTTCGTCTAGTACGACATCCTGGCAATGGTATCACGATGAGCTTCTGAAATTCGTCAATTTTTTTGAAATACCATCGTATCAGTCAGGTTCAACATATGATAAAAATACAAAAATCATTCCAAGCTGTAGTTTTCTAACCATGCTTATTGAGACTAATCTATATTTATACACTAATTTACCAATACGAATGGATGATATTGTGCCTCGGATGCTTTTGGCTTTGTATACTGGTCTGCTGGATGAAGGAAGCGGTGAGCCATATTTCTCACATTTTATATGGCCGTTAGAATTGGAACGAAATAGTTATGATTGGGATGGAGCAGTGGAGACAATCATTTCACGATATTCGTCATCTGTACCACAATCTGTTGATGGTATTATAAATACTATCATGGTGCTGTTGAACTTTGATGATAACCATGAAGATGTCCGAAGTTTGGTTGAGCAGCTTATTCAAAACGATTTGAAAGAATCTTTGCTGCTTAATTTGCGGTTACTCCTTTGTGGATTTCAATTATTAACTCTGAGGACTTCTACTTTTTGCAGTAATTTAAATCAAATTTTGGAAGAATCATTGGATGGAATCATAAATCCATTTGCTAACTGGCAATCTGATCAGTTCCGATTGAGTTGCATACAAATGAATTTGCAACAGTTCAAAGCAACGATAGCTTTTACTACTTATCACTGTACTCATTTGGAAGGGCGCAGTAGTTCTGTTTTGCAGAAGTCATTTTTCCGCCATTTTATATTTCACAATATTTTGTGCTATCGATTAATTTATGACGCTCAAGAAATCAGTTCTACTCCAATGCATGAATTTTCACGGTTCTTCTTCACCGGTGTGATGAAAAAACAACTTGAAATCTTGTATACAGCACTGAATCTATATCAGGACAATGGTTTCCGGATATCAGAAAGCCGCTTTCATGGATTTAGTTTTCCGGAAGATGCCACAGCGCTGTATTTTCCAATTTGCCAACTTCTTTCACCTCTATTTTGTCTCTGTTTGACTCCAAAAATGATACCCGAACTCTACGCAGTACTGTATGGCTATATCGATAAGACGGCAGTTGGTGAATATAAAATTGAGGGACTAATTGAATCAGAGCAACAACGATGGATAGAAGAAGGACGTGAAGTAAGCGTTGAATATATTTTGATATTAGAATTAAATTTCTGTGTAGCTTTTAGCTTTTCTTAATTAAAATCTCTGATCTTTGTATCGATATCGACGAAACCTTTGTGTTGATTCGTTCTTTTATTATGTTCACCACGAACATTCGGTTTGAAATTTATCTTTTTTTTTTCGTTTCGCTTATTTACGGCTAAATTAGAAGATAAAAAGATTGTTATACGAAATTTTTCCCATAATTTTTTTTTTTCATATGGAAAAAATTCATAAATTTTTCAGAAACTTTTGTTAAACTCATCAGCATCAGTAGTTATCTTAATTATCATTTAGTCACATTCATATGCTAGAAAAAATTCCGTTTAACTATTTACTCCTAAAATGAAATCATTTTTATTTGCCTTCATCTAGTGAATATTCATTTTTGCTGTAGTTCATATCTTCTTATGGTGTATTCCAATAAAATCAAGAAAGATTTGTTTAGTCTTGTTGGGTTGAAATTCAAAGTTATATAACATCCTAGGCTTTTGAGTCCTAAAATCTGCAAAGTTATAAGTCCTTAATTATTAAAAAATTTTCAAATCAATTTTCACAGTTGAGTTACCTTAGCTTACCTTCTGCTAATTTTACTTTTTTATAATGATTTCCTATTGAATTGCATCGTTTTTTTTTTTTTTAATTCCACTGTGAAGTGACATGACATTCTTGAGACAATATTGGTCGGCAGGATTAATTATCCTGAGAATGCATATATTTTGCTTC